GCTGGGTGCATGGGGCTGGGAGGGGCTGAGAACGTGCAGCTCGGTGCACTGATGAGCCTAGGGTGCCTGCTGGGTGCATGGGGCTGGGAGAGGGCTGAGAACGCGCAGCTCGGTGCAGTGATGAGAACGCGCAGCTCGGTGCACTGATGAGCGCCGGCCGCCGCTCCCTGGGCTGTCGGGAAGGGCGCGGGAAGGGCGCGGGGGCGCCGGCGCTGACGGCCCCTCTCCCCGCAGAGGCCGCGCGGGCGCCGCGCAGGGAGCACCGGCCGCAGCCCGAGGGCGCCAGCTGCGACGGGGCGGCCGCCGCGGCCGCGGGCCCCCCGCCGGCGCTGGCCGAGCGCGGCCCCCTGGCGCCGCCGTCCCCCGGCAAGGCCCGGCGCGCGGAGCCGCTCGACGCCCGCGTCGTCATGGGCGAGGAGACGCGGCGGGCGCCGCTCGAGCCCGACCTCTTCTTCACGGCGCCCTCGACGCCCGTCAAGGCGGCGCTGGCCCGGCTGCGCGACCGGGACGATGACGAGGATGAGGAGGATGCGGCGGGCGGCAGCGAAGGCCCCGGCTCGCCGCCCACCTCCCCGTCGGGCTCCTACATGACAGCCGAGGGCGGCAGCTGGGGCTCCTCGGGCACGGGCAGCACGTCGCCCTCCTGCTCGCCCAACCTGGGCGCCGAGCCGCTGCCCGAGGAGGAGGAGGGTGACGACGAAGGCTGCCGCGTGGCCCCCTTCGCCCTGCCCGAGGAGGAGGAGGAGGGCGAAGGCCGAGCGACGCCGGAGGAGGAGGAAGGCTGGGGGGCGCCGCTGCTGGCGCGGCTGCTGGGCGCCGCCGAGGCCGGCATGGTGCCCGCCGCGCTGCTGCCCTTCCGCGGCAGCCTCCTCTTCGAGGCCGAGGCCGTGGAGATCGCGCCGGCCGCCCCCGAGGAGGAGGATGGTGATGACGATGGTGGTGATGATGATGATGATGATGACAGCGCCTCGGCCTCCTTCCTGCGCTCGCTCTCGGAGAGCTCCGTGGCCGAGGGCGCGGACGAGGCCTTCGCCTACCGGGACGACACGTCGGCGGGCGCCGCCTCGGCCTCCTCCTCCTCGGCGGCCTCGTCCTCGTACGGCGGCGCCGAGGACGAGCGGCTCTACGGCGCCGAGCGCCACGCGCTGCCCCCGCGCCCGCCCGGCGGCATCGAGCTGCGCCTCGGCCACGCCGCCGTGGAGCCTTCCTCACCCGCCGGCGAGGAGGAGGAGGATGCGGCACCCCCCGGCGAGGAGGAGGAGGAGGTGGCGCCTTCATCTCCCCGAGGCCACAGGACACTGAGCGAGGAGGAGGAGGAGGAGGTGGCGGCGCCTTCATCGCTCGGCAGCCCCCAGGCTCTGGGTGAGGAAGAAGAGGAGGTGCTGCCTTCATCAGCCCTTGGCAGCAGGACACTGGCACAGGAGGAGGAGGAGGATGTGGTGGCAGCACCTTCATTGCCCTGCAGCCCTGGGACACTGAGTGAGGAAGAGGAGGAGGAGGAGGCGGCGCCTTCATCATCCCATGGCTCTGGGCTGCCGAGCGAGGAAGAGCAGGAGGTGGCACCTCCGTCGCTCCTCAGCCCCGGCCTCCTGGCTGAGGAAGAGGAGGATGTAGCAGCGGTGTCTCCATCACCCTGTGCCCCTAGGGCCCTGGGTGAGGAAGAGGAGGTGGTGGCACCTCCATCGCCCTGTGCTCCTGGGGTGCCAGGCGAGGAAGAGGAGGAGGGGGAGAAGGTGGCAGCGGCACCTCCATCACCCTACAATGCTAGTATGTCAAGTGAGGAAGAAGAGAAGGTGGCACCTTCATCACCCCAAGGTCTCAGGACACCAAGTGAGGAAGAAGAGAAGGTGGCACCTTCATCACCCCATNCACCCCATGGTCTCAGGACACCAAGTGAGGAAGAAGAGAAGGTGGCACCTTCATCACCCCATGGTCTCAGGACACCAAGTGAGGAAGAGGAGGAGAAGGTGGCAGTAGCACCTCCATCACCCTGCAGCCCCAGCACACCGGGTGAGGAAGAGGAGAAGGGGGAACCTCTGTCACCCCATGGTCTCAGGACACCAAGTGAAGAAGAAGAGGAGAATGTGGCACCTCCATCACTGCATGGTCTCAGGACACCAGAGGAGGAGGAAGAGGAGAAGGTGGCACCTTCATCACCCTGTGGTCTCAACTCGCTGAGTGAGGAAGAAAAGGTGACATCTCTGTTGCCCATCAGGCCTGGGACGCCGAGTGAGGAAGAGGAGGGGGCAGTAGCACCTCCATCACCCTGCAGCCCCAGCACGCCAGGTGAGGAAGAGGAGGAGGAGAAGGTGGCACCTCCATTGCTCCACAGCCCCAGGATTCCGTGTGAGGAAGACCTGGGTGAGGAAGAGCACTTGGAGCAGGGAGACGGAATCTCCCCAGCTGGGCCAGCATTGGCAGCTCCAGAGGAGGATGAGCCTCTGGAAGAGGAAGAGGAGGAGGAAGAGGAGGGTGACGCTGGCCTGGCCCAGGGCAGCCCTGTCCACATCCCCTCTGAGGAAGCCACCGTGGAACTGACCACCAAGTGCCTCCCTGTGTGCCCCTCTGAGGAAGAGGAGGTGGAGGAGGCTGAAGAGCCGCGGGATGCTGTGACACTCGAGGACACCTTGGCACTGGAGGATGCTGCGACATCCAAGGACATCGTGACACCCGAGGGTGCTGTGATGCCTGAGGACACTGCAATGCCTGGGGACGTGGTGACACCTGGGCATGTCGTGGCATCGGAGGACGCTGTGATGTCCAGGGATGTCGTGACACCAGAGGATGCCGTGATGTCCAAGGAGGCTGTGATGCTTGGGGACATGGTGACACCTGGGCGTGTTGTGACACCAGAGGACACCATGATGTCTGAGGACACTGTGGCACCTGGGGATATGGGGACACCCAAAGATGCCACCATGCCCGAGGACTTGGTGACACCCAGGGATGTGACCCCAGAGCTTGCTGTGACACCAAAGGACACCACGATACCTGAGGACATCGTGACACTAGAGGATGCTGTGACACCTGGCCATGTCGTGACACCAAAGGACACCACGATACCGGAGGACATGGTGACACCCAGGGGTGTGACACCTGAGGATGTTGTGACACCAAAGGACACTCTGATACCGGAGGACATCACGACACCTGGGGATGTGACACCCAGAGATGTTGTGACTCCAAAGGACACCACAATACCGGAGGACATCACGACACCCAAGGATGTTGTGACACCTGGGGATGTCGTGACACCAAAGGACACCACGATACTGGAGGACATCATGACCCCTGAGGATGTTGTGACACCAAAGGACACCACGATGCTGGAGAACATCACGACACCCAAGGATGTTGTGACACCTGGGGGTGTCATGACACCAAAGGACACCATGATAGCTGAGGATGTCACGACACCCAACGATGTCCTCACACCAAAGGACACTATGATAGCTGAGGACATCATGACACCCGAGGACAACACAATACCAGAGGACATCATGACACTAGAGGATGCTGTGACACCTGGGGATGTTGTGACACCAAAGGACACCATGATAGCTGAGGATGTCATGACACCCAAGGATGTCATGACACCAAAGGACACCATGATAGCTGAGGATGTTGTGACACCCAAGGATGTCGTGACACCAAAGGACACCATGATAGCTGAGGACATCGTGTCTCCCAAGGATGTCGTGACACCAAAGGACACTTTGATAGCCGAGGACCTCACGACCCCCAGGGACGGGATGCCCGAGGACCTGGCCATGCCGGAGGAGGCCACAGCAGAGCTGGGGACGTGTCCCCCACAGGAGCCCGAGGGGCCGGAGAGCAGCGCCCCGGAGGCTCCGCACCCGGCGGAGGAGAGCGCCCCAGCGGGAGGCTCCGCCGAGGAGGACGAAGATGAGGAAGGTGACGGACCAGCAGCCTCGCAGCCCGTGGGGACCACGGAGCCTCCGCCGGGAGCCGCCGCCGCCAGCGAGGAGCCGGCGGGCGGGCGGCCCCCGGGCGCCGTCGTGGCCCCGTCTCCCCGCTCCTCCAGCGGCCGCGAGGAGGAGGAGGAGGAGGAAGGCTCGGC